ACAAACACAAAAAAGTTTAAAATATATTGGATCTATTTTTTTTTTTAATTTCACCAGATAGGAAAGTTAACAGACAAAAACATGGTTTTATATAAAAGAAATGCTGAGCTGGGCATTGGTAGCGCACACCCTTAATTCCAGCACTCGGGAGGCAGAGACAGGAGGATCTCTGTGAGTTCGAGGCCAGCCTGGTCTCCAGAGCAAGTGCCAGGATAGGCTCCAAAGCTACACAGAGAAACCCTATCTTGAAAAACCAAAAAAAAAAAAAAAAAAAAGAAAGAAAGAAAGAAAAGAAATGCTGACTTTGTGGTATCAGGTATGAACTGAAATTCATATGAAATATTCCAAATAAGTTCCATAATTTATGTCAAATTTTCAAACCATTTATTCTAAAGATCGGATCACTTAGCCAGTATCCAACTACAAGGTATAAACTTGTGTGGTAAATCAAATTAACAACATCCCAACTGTTCATGAGGCAGCCTATTTCTACCCACCAGAAACACTCAAAAGCATCAAGTACTTACCTGCAGCTCCTTAGAGACTCGCTCTAAGTGACTGGTTATCTTTTTAATCAGATCACTGTACATCTGTTCTGAGTGCTGCTGGCATACACACTTATATACACAACTGCAAAAAGAAACGGGCATAGAAACCAAGTCATTGAAAATGCATTCCTCGAAATCCCGTGTTAAAGCACTTTCAAAATAAAACTCACCACCTGACAATGGGCAGTCAACCAGAAACTGGAAGAAAAACCAACTCTCCTTCCCCAGTCAGTGCTGATGGAAAAGACATGGCCAACTAACTTCCAATGACCTGGATTGTTAGTACACATTAAACAGGCCTAAGACGATAATCCAAAATGGCATCTATAGTCTTGATATGGTAACTCATTTTTTTTGGTTTTCTTTTGGTTTTGGGTTCTTTTGTTTTTGTTTGTTTGGTTTTGGTTTTTTGAGACAGGGTTTTTCTGTGGCTTTAGAGGCTAGCCTGGAACTAGCTCTTATAGACCAGGCTGGTCTCAAACTCACAGAGATCCTCTTGCCTCTGCCTCCCGAGTGCTGGGATTAAAGGCGTGCGCCACCACAGCCCAGCATGGTAACTCCTTATAAGTCAGCTTCTCCCTCACTTTTTAAAAGTACTTGTCAAAATAAGAAAGATAGTGATAACCAGAAGAGGGAAACTTTCCAATTCACAAAGGTATTTGCAATACATCCTCCTTGTATACCGGTCTGGGGAACAACAGAGCTGTGACTTCTTCCTGTCACTGTGCTGATCTCATTTCCTACCCCAGTTCCTAATCTACTGATTCCATTTACCAAGAGGCTAGATATTAAGAGAGCTAGAACTGCATGTCTGTAAGGATCAACAGAGCTAACTAAGATCTCTTAAAAACCATGTTATTTTTAGAGCAGATACTTCACACTAGTTTTTCTAAGTGGCCTTTGAGGTTTTTCATTATACATGACAGAGGCAGACAAGCAAGCAGAGATGGAAGTTAATAGTATGATACACTCTATCAAACCTCCAATTCACCAGGGGGTGGAATATATACATCCAACTTCATCTTACATACTTCTTACATCACAATTATGCTGTCAGCAATCAAATCCCATTCAAAACAGGCAAACTCATCAGTGACTTACCTGTAAATCTGTTCATAGGATATAGGTATATAGTCACCAGGACTCTGGGTTAAAAGTTGATCTATGGCACCATCTAGTTTTGGCCAGTATGTGCTCTTATAATCTTCAACTGTTATAACATTCATTACTACAAATAAAAGCAAAACATAATTACTATGTGCCAATGGAAATACAAATCATAACAAGTGTACACTCATTCAAAATCTATCATTTTATTACTTACCAACCCCATTGTATTTTTAAAAAGAGAAAAGTTGGGAGGTGGAGGCAGAGGCAAGCAGGTATCTCTGTGTTCTAGGACAGCCTGATCTACATAGTGACCTCTGAGACAGCTCAGGTGACAAGTGCCTCAAATAAAGGAAGGGGGAGGTGAGAGAAGAGAGAAAGAGAAGAGATGGGGAGGAATGAGCAGAAGAGAAAGCAAAAAAGTGCGTGCCCCGAGCATGTATATACACATACATGCATACATACACACATACACACACACACACTCTCACACACATACATACACACACACACATACATACACACACACACACACTC